TCTCCATGATGCTGCAGAAGCCACAGAGTCACGTGACAACACAGAATTTAAAAAACTGAAATAACCAACACAGGAAAGATTACGTGGATCAGAGATTCCCAGTGTTTTGACTGCCCAGCTCGAGTAAGGAACAGCTGATGTGATGCTAGCTGTCTCAAACAAAGCAGTAAAGTGTTTCAGGACAAGAATGTAAAGAACTTCCATACCAGACTTTTACTATTAACACGTACGGGCAGCGATACGGTAGCAGCTGTACGTGCTGCCATCTCCCATGTTCTCCTTCTTCTTCTTCAGCGTGGAAGATAATCTAGAACCCCTGTAGGTCGTATGTCGTCCCCTTCAGTTCTGCTTCTACATCATTACATACGCAGCCTGAGGAACCTACGGCAGTAAAGGAAAAACAAACAAAAACAAGTACTGTAGCATTTCTCACAGTTCTAGTTCGAACGTTAGCACCTTTTTCGTAGGCTGTAAACATGTTTAAAGTTTTAAACGTGCAGGTGGGAGTCGCTGCTGGCGCCATGCTCAGACAACACTGGACCAACTACTGTGTGTTCATCGTTCAGACACAGGCTGTAGAGGATACTGATATGTATATAAAGCATGAAACCATGAACTCTTCGTAGTTCGCTGAATAGTTTCCATCTCCTGTTCGACTTTTGCTCCAAGGAACAAACCAACTAAGTTCATAATTGCACATTTAATGGCACAGGTTGAGAACAGTATTTACAGCGAGTCATTGGTCATCTTTCAAAAAAACACCCGGAGCACTCGCAGACGGGACGGCACCTTCACCGGTGTGACTCCAGGACAGCCCTGCACCGCCGTGGACACGCTGTCACTTCATCTTGGTATACTGTGAACGACAAACGACATGAACATTACGCTTTAGTGTGTGTAAGACCTCGGAGGTCTTCTTTCCTTTATCCTTACTTTATCCAGAATCCAGTCAGCATCTGCAATCGCTCTCTGGATGATCATCTGTATCCTCTCCGGGTCGTCTTCGTCTGAGTGGCTGTTGTAACCCTGGAAACAAACAGCAAACAAAGACTTCATGGTCTTGGCAGAAACTACTTTCAGCAGTAATGATGATGATGATACATTAATGGTGCATGAGTCACAGTTACTGGTTGTTATGGTGACCATAAACATGTCAGCACTATCTGATAATACAAATCAATAGTCCAGCACAAAGGTCAAAGGTCGGGAGGTTGCCTTCACAGGATTCAGCTGTTCTACTGCTGCTGCCAGCCAATCACATCACAACAGAAACCGAAAATAAGGTTAGTGATGAAGGCAGCGTTCACGTCACTGCAACAACCGTTTGTAGAAATGTGCACGAGTTATTTTTAAGATACTTTGTTGCTTTTCTCCATTTTATATTATTATCTGTTTAAAAATGGTCACATTTGTCTTTAAGTCTGTTGACTGAAAAAACACAACACACGTGTGTAAAGGGGTCAGTGTGGACTCTGACTGGTGTTTTCAGTACAGTCAACAAAAGATGAATTGTATTCAGCACCACCCAAATCTCCTGACACAAGTCATTTCTCATCCCATAACCATATCATCACAATATTGGCATTTTCTGTGAATCCAGTGAATAGTTTATTAAACCAACACATTGAAAGTCCTGCTGGTTTTTTACTTCATTGAAATAATAAAAAGTTAAATAAATATGATTATAAATAAACCCCACACAGTCACGTGTTGTGTGTTTTGATCAGTGAACAAAACCATATCTGTATATTTATCTTTGTGCTTCTCATTCTTGCTTAGGTGGTGTCAGACGTCTGTGGTGTGGGTGTCTGTGGGGGGGGCCGGGTCAGCACAGTTTTCTGCCCCATGGTTACACAGGTAACCCCTCGTCTAGCAACGAGCCCCTCGATTTGTTATGTTTGGTCCTTCTGTGTTGCCGTGGTGACTACTGTCATCTAAAGCGGCAGTGAAAAGGTATCGCGGTTATCGTTGTATTTCGCACAATACAAAATAAACTGTAGAGTATAATATGAAACAATCGGCTTTGTCATTTGATATATTTCATCACACGGCCATAAATTCAGTTTTATTTATAAAGCGCTCCTCTCCTCAAGGCTCTTTATATTGTAAGATCAAGACTCTACAGCAGAGGTCCCCAATCCCAGGCCTCGAGGGCCGGTGTCCCTGCAGGTTTTAGGCTACACACACACTGCAGGTCTTGATGCTCAATTCTGAGTTTTTGATCAAATGTGATTTTTTTGTCTGCTCGTTCACACTACAAATAAAATGTGACAGCAAACGTGCTCTAGTGTGAACGCTCAAAGCGGCCGCATGCGCAAAAGAAGACGTCACACACAACGCGCTCTGTTTAGACCCAGAGCAACAGTATTGTTTGACTGATGACCTTAATATAAAGACTTCAGACTTTACGTTTCCCAATTTTTGCTTTAAGTTATTTTGTTATTTACATAATAATGTAAATAACCTAATAATGATCCTTATTGCTGTTTTAGAGGAGCGGAGCTTCAAAGGATAGCTGCAGATTTCTGTCAGAATCTGCAGATTATACAGAACAAATAAAATGTTCACGTTTCTCCAACGTTGTCTTCCCAACAGTTTCACCGGATAGACAGGAAGCGTTCGCGATGTCTTCTCCGGCGCTGATAATCGGCGTCTGTCTTGTGTCAGTGACGTAAAAGACGGATTTAATGCGACATGACCATCAAACAGCAGCTTTCTAAAACATCAGATATGTATCAGATTCAGCACCACATACAAAAGTGACCCAGATCGGATTTGAAAATATCGGATTTGTGCCGTTCACACTGTCACACCATGATCGGATAGATGGGTCGCAGAGGGTCAAAAAAATCAGATTTGATGACCTTTCGCCTGCAGTGTGAACGCAGCCTTGTGTCCTTGATCCATCACAGCTGATTTAAATGACCTCCTCAACATGTCCTGAAGTTCTCCAGAAGCCTGGTAATGAACTAATCATGTGATTCAGGTGTGTTGACCCAGGGTGAGATCTAAAACCTGCAGGACACCGGCCCTCGTGGACTGGGATTGGGGACGCCTGCTCTACAGTAATACAAAGATTACTGAATTATCCCAAAAACACACCAGGTTGGGTGGGTCTCTTCCTGTTAAAGTGAAGTTCTTCCTCCCCACTGTCACCCTGTGATCATGTGACTGTTCTCTCTTTATTAATGCCAGGTCCCTAAAATAACTGTTGCTGTGAACTGGTGCTTAATAAAGACGGCTCACTAACTCTGCATTGAGACAGTTTTCATCGTTTTCCTCACTGTGTGCAGGATTATATGGATACTTCATGAGCACAGATCTTGCCATTGACTCTCAATGAGCTGTTTAAAACCGTTTCTCTGTGTCGGATGTGACGTAGCTCAGTTAGTCTCGTCACACAAGAGTCCAAAAGGTATTAAAGTTACCGTCACAGTTTCACTTGGATGCATGAGATGACCTCACCTGTCTTATGGCATGTCGATAGTGTTGTTGCATTGCTGTGGACGGTAACTGCCTGCAGCACCTGAGCAGGTATCGATACAGCTGCAATGGAGTGTGGACCAACTCGGCTCCAGCTAAAGGTGGCATCCCTTCCTGGTTAAACAGCTGTTGGTAAAAATAAAAATGGCCCCCTCTGTGAAAAATGTATGATACATTATGGAAATCTGTTACATTGTTTTGCACTTTGTCCAAGGCTTCAGGGTTTTTGGTGTGACATCTTTACCTACTTGTCTAATATTTTTAAGAGTAAGATTGAGCCAAATCCGATAGTAATTATCTTTGGGATCTCCAAAGAAACACAAAATTTACAACACTCTCAAAAAAGGTTTATGTCATATGCATTGATTGTTGCAAAGAAACTGATCCTGCAGCTTTGGAAAGGCAAAGAGACTCCTGTATTAAAGACGTGGCTTACAGAATTTACAAATACTCTTCATCTTGAAAAAATA